GGGTTCTCCCACAGTGCCGCTTCCCCAGGCCGACCTGCAGGTGTAAGCAAAGGTATTGGCACATGGATCTCCAGGCCCTGCCTGTGAGTGTGTCCAGGTGGAGCAGATGGGGACAGTTGGGATCTGCTGCTCTCTCTACTGCTTTCAAAGGGGCTACTTCAGGTCACGTTGGCTTCTGAAACTGCTGCAAATGTCCTTTTTTGCCTTAAATTCTGAGAACTTAACAGTTGACACTCTTCACCTCTTCCTGGCAGTGCCTCTTCCTTGAGAAGAGGAAGAAGTGGTATTGCTGGGTAAAACTGACCACAGAGCTGGTAAGATCAGTTGGGAATAAAATGAAGAACTTGCGAATCCCTCCCTGCTCCAGAGATCTGAGCACATCCTTCCTTCGCAGGGACTTGGAGAGGCTTTGAGTGTCGTGCCACGACCAGAAGGCTGGGGGGGTCGTGGTTGTTTCTGTTCCCTGCTCCGTGGCTGGCACACAAGGCAGGGTGAAGGACATCGCTGGCAGCTCTGCTGATGGCCCAGCTCTTGTCTCTGCGGATACTCCTTGGTTCTCTGGTTGTGCACCACCACCTAGTGGTAACGGCACCCCGGAGTCTGGCTTCGGGACTCCAACATGACTTTGCTTTCCCTTTCTCTTCCCCAGAAACGATCCCAGCCTCTGGAGTTCATCGACCCTCTGGCCAACAAAAAGCCCAGGATCTCGCATTTAGCTCACAGGACTCAACCCACGTTCAACGGGAAGCTGAGCTCCAACGGGAAGGACGCGCCTGCCCCTGCGCCGCCGCCGGCGCTGCCGGAGGCCGTGAGCTCCAGCTCCAGCCTCCCGGTGCTGGAGCTGCCCAGGCCTCACGATCCCCTTTCGGATGTCAGCAATGACCTGGCTCACAACGGCAGAGACTGTGAGAACCCGGAGCCGGCTGACAGACTGACTCACCCCCTGCCCACAGACTGTCCCCAGACGAGCAAACACAACTGCAGCTCGTATGTAAAAACCAAGAAGAAATCCAAAAAGCACAAAGATAAGGAGAAGGAGAGGAAGGAGAAGAAAAATGAAGAGAAATGCAAAGAGGAGAAGCAGAACTGTGAAGTAATTAAAAATGCTGACTTAGGTAGTGTTCCCCAGGAACAGGTCACAGGTACGTGCGCTCCGAGAGGTGCTCCTGTACAGCCCGTGCTGAGATAAGGTTGGGATCAGCTCTGTGTGGTCTGTGCTCGGGATCTATTTGAGGAAAGAGGTTGTGTGTCCACTGGCAGCGAGTGTGCGAGTGAAATGCCATCACTGCCCCTACCTGCAACCCAGCAAATGTGCTTCCTCTCAGAAGGGGATATCAGGTTTTTCCTGTCTAACCTTTCGTGCTGTTTGGAACTGCCTCAGAGCGTGTCATGTTTCTCCTTGTTAAATTAAAAGCTGTATGAATATCTGGGATGAAAGGCAGGCATCAGGATGTGTTGGTTGGAGGAGCAGTGCTGCCCGGCTCCTGACAGCTTGTCTCTGCTCTTCTGATGACTCTTGTATTGATTTTTAACTCGGTGATGAAAAGTTAGTCACGAAAGCTTTTGATGTTGGGTACAGCAGAAGTGACAGCTAAGTCCTGTGATAAATGCTGTTAAAGCAGTACACAGCCAGCTCTTCAGGCTAAAAGAGCTTCCTTGGTGTAGCCCATTACTACTCTGAATCTCTTTTTTTGAGGATTAACACAACAGTGAATCTCCTGCCCCTTGAGGTGCAATGAAAACGTTTTCTACCAAACCAGCCTATTTCTAAATCAGATGCTTAGTCTGAGAGCAGAGAATACACATTGGTTAATCCAGGCCATTTCCTTGCCTGCTGCTTTCATGTTTCCTGCCGTTTCACTGGGCTTTGTTAGACTTCCAGAGCAGTTCCCCTGGGAATATCACAGTCCTGATCTGATGTTAAATGTCTTTTTGCATCCATCTTGTTTCCCTTTCCCCCGTTACTGCTTTCAAAGTTCCTCTTCATGCTTGGTGCATGGAAATGAGCCCGTCTTGGCTCACAAAGGAAAGTAACTTGAAATGGAAACTGATCTGTATAATTCCTGGGAAGGGAGAGCTTTGTGGGACATTGGGGTTAGTATCTTCTTAGCTCTCACCTTCCCCACGGTCTTCGTAGCACCTACAAAATGTGCTTGCTCACTGGTGATTCTTAATGACAGCCTGTAGTTGGGAGCATCTGCAGAACCACACTCTTTAGACACAACTTCTGCTTTGATCTTCCTTTTGTGTCAATCCTGGTGATAACCTGTGAGTGTTGTTTTTCTTTTCCATGTACCCGGTGTCTGGAACAGTGGTGGAGATACACACACGCCTTCTCTCTGTAGATGGGTATCTTTGTCAGTGCTGCTTTGTACCAGAATGCCCTGAATTCTTTGGGAAGTTGCTGACCCTTTACCACCTTTTCTGCTTGACAGCTCTTTGTTAACGAGCAGGAGCTGGGGTTTGTTCCTGCTGCACACGGATGGATGGGAGGTAACAAATCTGGATTTGGGAGCGAGCATAAACAGGATGTGGTCAGTGAGTGGCTGCTTGGATCTCGTACAGCCAGCTCGCATCTCAGCTGGGATCTCTTCCTTCTGTGCCTTACTTCACGCGGATAACGTGGGCCTAACCCTGCTCCCTTTCCCTGCAGCCAGGAGCTGACGCCTTCTCCAAGCCCCCCCGGGCCAGGGGCTGCAGGGAAGCAGAGTTTCCACTGGCAGGTTTGTTCAGGAGGCTCTGGAGGGACCTTTAGGCTCCTTTCAGCAGTCAGTAGGTGGCACTCACAGGCAGAATAAACCTTTTAAACCTTCCTTTTTCTCCCTTTCTCCTCCACGATCTTCCTTACCCATGTTCCGGCTCTTCCTTACCCACGTTCTGCATCTTTCACCCTGGTGGTCAGGTAAGGATGAAAGCAGAATTGGCTGCAGCAGGGATTTGAGGCTGGGGTGTTTGGAATGACACTGGGGTTTCTGCCATTCGTACCTTTCTCTTCAGGAAAGCCTTTCTTTGGAAATTCAGGGGAAAACCAGCTTTTAAAAAGCTGTAATTAGGCTTGTTGTTTTCACATGCCTGGCTTTATTCCTTGGGTGCTTCACGCTCCCTACAGTTCCCCTGGGTAATGACCGCACAGTGGGAGTGTGGGTGAGTGCAGGGATGGTTTAGGTGTGGGGCTTACACCTCCCTTTCCTGTGCATCTGGGGAACTTGTGCAATCGAGGTTCTAAGTAACAGACTTGGAAAGAAGAAATACCCTTCTGCAAAGCAGTTGAGTTACATCCTCTGCATCCTTCTCCACGTGCCTCGTATTTTGCTGCCTTCTCGTGGTTGCAGTTGACTTTCTGCTTAGGACTTGAAGTCTAATACACAGCTGATGAGAAGTAGCACTTTTCAAACCTGTATTCAACTGCTTCCTTCCTCCAGACTGTGTCTGGATTGTGTTGAGGGATGGGGCTGGGTTTAGGCTCACATTCACAATCCTGTTCCTCCTGAGGTCTTTGATCCATTCACTTAAGCTTTGCTTGATTCATGTTTCTTCAGCTTCAGAGAGCAGAGAGCACTTGGATTTGCCTACAGGGCAGGTGAGGACAAAGCTGTCTGCCTTAGAAACCTCTCTGTTGTATCCTGTGTGAGTCTGGAGCACTAATAGGAGGAATCTGAGCCTGTATGTTAGCAGTGAGGATCTCTACACAGTGTGGAATCGGGAGGAAAGCACCCGCACCTTGCTCAGCTCTGTTCTGCTCATAAACCTGTTGTGCACTTTAGCAGTGGTGGTGTCACGTCTCCCACCCTGCACACAGGGTTTATGAACAGGGAAACTCAGGGGTTTGCTGCTCACTGCATTGGCTGAGGTTGATGTTGTTTTGCTGACAGATTCCAGAGAAGCCTCGAAGCTTCAGCCACCTTCTTGTGGCTCTTCTGTTGGTCAGTTCAAAGCAAAGCAGAAATCCTTTAGAGTGTGATAAACTGTGTGTTGCAGCTGGGGTTATGAATGGGAATTTGAACTATACAGAGCTTTGAAGTGTCAGACTGTCTATAAACAAGTTTTCCTTTTTTCCCCCCCAGGTTTAAATGGAACATGCAATAATTCTAGTGTACCAACATCAACTTCAGAAATGCCAGATTATTTATTGTAAGTATATTTATCAGTTGTTGCATCACTTTGGGATCATGGTTCAAGCTAAAAATCACAATACTGGGGATTGTGTTAGAATTCATTGTTTCTTGATCAAGTACTTCAAGAAACATCCCATGGCTTGAAGGGGTTTGGAAGGATTAAACATCTTCGTGTTGCAGGTGGGAACTCTGGGAGGAAATGATCTGCTGTAATGTTATGGAAGACAGAGCGAGGCAGGATTTTGAGAGGTTGGCTCATTCCTCCCCTGTTCAGAGCCAAGATCATCTCCATAAACCAGTGAAATACTCTTCACGGCGAGGTTACAACCTGTGGGTTGGGATGGGAGTTATTTCACCTCTTGACTTCTTAATCAGATCCCCTTGAGGTTGATTAAACAACACACTCATCTGCTGGAGCTCAAAAACCTGCATAAACCCAAACCTGTTAGAGACAAAGCTCCAGCAGTGAGGAGGTGAAGCTGTGGGTGATATTCCCTTGGGCACCTCTCAGCCTGGATTTTTAATGCCATCACTCAGGGAAGAGATGGAAGAGAAGGAGACAGAGGAGGCCTCCATCCCCCCCTCTGCAGGAGCAGTCAGGGGGGCTGACTGGAGGATAGAGGGGGTTCCTGTGTGGTTACACAACTTTGGTTTGCTGGTCAAACCACCACTTGGAGGTGACATTTCCAGTTCCATTCAGAAGATTGCAGATGGGTGTTCCTGTTTTCTTGAAACAGATGTGCAAATGCCTCCCATAGGGGGATATTACAGCTCCTTGGTCCACTTCCAAAGGAACAGCGTGGGGTTTATGGGCTCCTGTAGGGGCTGTTTCACCTTTTGGTACCATCTGGCTGGTTTGATGGTCAACTTCTTAAATTACAAGAGCTGTCACTGCTGTCTTGATCATGGAGGCATGTGTTCACGTGCTTCCAAGGAGTCCTGTGGTCAGCTCTGGGGCCCCCAGCACAAGAAGGATGTAGACAGAGATGGAGCCAGGCTGCGAGAGATCCTGAGTTAGCTTATATGTGTTCATGCTCTGAGCTGCCACTGCTGCAGACAGAGTGAGGTGGCACAGTAGAGTCATCACATGTAAAGAGCTGAGTTTTCCCATCGGAGAGGGCTGGCTGCTGGGCCTTCTGCAGCATTCCAGGTTTAATGGCTTTTTGTTGTGCTGAAGAACTTTCAAAGGGCCTCAGAGGCGCATCTGTTAAACAAGAGCTCTTGTGTTCAGTTCACGTTGGTGAACTGGTTCACGTCTTCAGAAGGTAGAGGAGATACAGTCAGTCTATTCAGCATGGCTGCTCGTCGTGTGCTTGCCACGTAATCTTACTGTGAGCGTTTTGCAACGATAGCTGAATGCTTTTGTGTTCCTTTAAAGACTCTTAACACTGGAAGCATCGTATTTTTTTTTGGCTGGCACAGATGCAGAACTCCATGTTCTGCAGGACAGCGGGAGTTAGCAAAGCAGTAGCAGTGCTATCTGAATGTCCTCCTGCACCCTCAGCTTTGCTGTACCTGCATGTTCCACACTATCTGGTACAGATGGGAGATTCTGGGAGCAAGCACTGTCTGTTCTCCACAGAGGTCAAGGCAATAATCCTGATGCACCTTCACGCTGCTGTAACGCAAATTGAAGAGGTTGTATTTTGGTTTCCAACGCAGTCTCACCTGGTGGACTGAACCTGGGCCGGGCATGGCAGTATTCACACTGTGAGAGCAGCTTTCCTAAGCCAACAACTCCCTTCTTCTCCCTGCAGAAAATACGCAGCCATTTCCTCTTCGGAGCAGCGTCAGAGTTACAAGAACGACTTCAACGCGGAGTACAGCGAGTACAGAGACTTGCACGCCCGGATAGAGAGGATAACGCGGCGCTTCACGCAGCTGGATGCCAAGCTGAAGCAGCTCCTGCAGGGCACCGAGGAATACAAGGTAGAAACAGCAACGTCTCCTTGGAAAAGCCACTCCTGCAAGTGGCAACGCTGCGACTCGGTGCAGGCGCTCTGGATGGGGGGCTCGTGGGGCTGCCTTGGTGGCTGCAGAGCGTGCAGGCAGCTGACAGCTCTGAGGACTGTTCTTAAAACAGCCCTGTGTTCTTTCGGTTTCGGGCTGGAGCACACATCATGGTACTTGTTGACAAGGAAAGGCCTCAGTGAGACAATTGGTGTCTTTAGCCAAAAGCTGCTGGAAGCTATTAGTGTATCCCAGCCAGGAAACTCATACTTGCACATATGGTAGCATATCGGGGCTGGAAGGGGAGTTAGCACGGGGTCATCTGTTGCTCTGGAATCTTTGATCTTAATAATGGAGCATTATTTGACTTGTCAGGCTGAGTTTGAAAGAGCTTTAGCTATTCATTATCTTGAGAAAGTTAAGTCTCGCTGAGTATAATAAACAGATTTTTACAGAGCACCTATTGTGCTAAACCCCTTTTCCTCCCTCAAACAGCCTTCCCCTCTTGGAGTTCAGTGACTCCTCACTGAATTCTCTTTCTATCTTGGGGAAAAACGAGTCTGGAGTTTTTGGAGGCAGTGTCAGTTATCCTGCAACCCTGTTTCAGGTAGTTCCCGTGGCTGGGGAATGGGGTCTGATGCTTCCAGTACTTCTGGTGTCAGCACCAGTGTAGTCATGGAGTCAGCAAGGTGTCAGATCTCATGGGAGGGAGTAGATTTGGGTTGTTACTCAGAGGAAACATGGACATTGAGCCTTCGGGGAATGGCACCAACTGCAGTAGGGTGCAGGACTCTTGGCTCTTTGGGAAGTAATCAGCTCTTTTTTTCCTTTTTAGACCATCCATGATCAAATTTTACAGGAATATCGGAAAATTAAAAAGGTAAGTAAAAACAACCACAAAAACAAGGCTTTTGGGTGGTGCCTCTGGTGTGACTGAAAAAGCTGGGCAGTGGCCAAGTGAAAATCCCAGTTCTGAAGCATTCTAGCAGATCTTTGTTCAGCTTGAGCCTGTCCCAAAAGTGGTCTTTTCCTGGATCAGAAAGGGTCTGGGGGGAGCTGGGGCTGCTCTGGGATCCTGGGAAGCATTCAGCCTTGTTAGTGGCGTGCCAGCACAAGAATGAATGTGTTAAATCAGTGCCTTTATCCCATCAAGTGAAAGAACAGCCTGTATTTCAGCATGCTCAGGCTGAGTGATAACAGGATTCAACAGGATCCTCCAGGTCTTGGGGTCTTCTGGTGTATGAGGAATGAGCTGAGGAATCACTGGGGTACATAGCCCCCTGTGGGGCTTTTTGGTGCATGCAGAATACTTCCCATCTCTGTATCTGAAGCATCCATACACCAGGGGTGGTTTGTTTTCTTTTCAACCTATGGATACAGAGCCCTGTTCTCCTGAGGGATTTAGGAGCTTGTGGAAGAGATTCCCTGTGTGTTGCAAGTCCATCTTTGCTCTAAAGCTTCCAGGCTTGCACAGCTCGGTCTAACGTGGGGCAAAGGGCAGGTGATGCCTCCTGGAAGCTGAAGTGTGTCCAGGTCAGGCTGAGCCCTGCGAGGAGGCTCCTGGAGCTGGATACTCATGAGAGGGGATTTTTTTCTTTGCCTTGTTTGGCCAGAGTAGGTTCATTTTAAATAGGCATCTACTCCTCCAGCTAGAAAAGCTTCATTCCTTGGTCAGGT